TTTTTTTTTTTTGGCGGGACCGGGGATTGAACTCAGGCCCTTGCGCTTGCCAGGGAAGCGCTTATTCCACTGAGCCATCTCCCTGGCCCTCTGTCACGCTTGTATTTCTTGCCACCTGCTGCCTACCTCATCTCCAGGGTGCCAGTCTTGCTTTCTGTTTCAGCATCCTGCACTGTTGTCAGGGCAATCTTCCTGAAAAACTTCACTGATCACATGCTGCTCAGAACTCTTCAGGAGCCTTCTAGTGCCCTTAAAAGAGTCTGGTTAGTGTAACCTGACATTCAAGGCCTTGTACAACCTGAAGCCTGCAAAGCACACACCCGTGTGCCATAGACAAGCTGTAGTGGACTGTCCACATACCCCAGCCACTGGCTAAATTTCCCCAAGCTCAAGCTTCCTCCTGACCCTTCACCCTGCTTACTGCTTGTATCCTAGCACCTGCCACACCTTGCCCTTAAAGGGGACCCAGGTCTTTGGAACAGGACCATGTGGAAGCCAGTCAGCACAGAGGTAGCAAGTGCTATGTTTTATTGCAGCTGCTTCAGGAGAGAGCAAAAGGAGAAGGCATGAGGAGAGAGGGCAGGAGCCTAGAGATGCCAGAGCCATGGCCACAAGCAAGTGGCTTGTACTTTCCAGGGACTGGGCCTGGGCTTAGAAGGCAGGTGGGCCAGTGAAGGGTAGCTAAGGGTATGCTGTTCTTGCTTATGGACAGACAGGCAGTAAGGAGGCCCTGGGAGGAGATGAGGCAGCTCTTTGCCCCCGTGTCCCTGCAGCTGCCTCCCATTGGCCGACTCCATACTCCCCACCTCCTTCCACAGAAGAAGTTTAATGGGAATGGCTGCTGGGACAGAAGAGAGGACTTGGGGAAGACTGGAGGTGGAAGGGGCAGCTGAGTTCTTCATGCCTTCTGCTAGCCTCCTCAGTTCCAGATTTTGAGGAAGCTGTCCCAGGAACCAGTGGCCACAGCCATGCCATCAGCTGTGACCCCCAGGCAGCTGACCCTGTTGTCATGACCAGAAAGGATCCCTGAGGAAGAGAAAAATCAATCCATCTCCATGTGCTGATTCAGAAATCTCTGTGGGCAGGGGCCCTAGGCTGGTGGGCTTCCAGCTGCTGGAGGAGAGTGAGAGACTGGGAGATGAGATCTTGGGAGGGTTTCTCCTGAAGTCAGTTCCTCCATCCCCACTTGGCTGGGGATAAATGGGGCAGATAGAATGATTGGAAATGTCAGTGTGCTGTGGGAGAAGCCAGGGTCACCTCCATGGGTACAGAGAAATAGGAAGGGGCGACCCTTTGCCCAATGCTTCCGTTTCAGATGAGAGGAGGCCCAGAGAAGTGAGTTGTGCAAAGAAACTCAGAAAATAAAGAACTAAATTAGGATTAGGATCCTGACTCTAGGCCCATAGCACCTGGCCTCTCCCAAGACAAAGCCAGGCTGTCTGCTCCATCAGACTAGGCTGGGCCCTGGGATACTCCAGATCTTCTGGGTTCTGTTTCCACCCACAGCTCACCAACGCTACCTTTTCCTAAAGTTCATGCCACTGAAAACTTATACACCAGGACAGACTGGATGCCAAGGTCCAGATTTCTGGGGAGACCAGTAGGGAGCAGCTACCGCAGGACAGGGTGAGGGATGCTGAGCGCTGCCTTTTTGGGGGTGCATGGCCCTTGGTTTGGAAACAAGGGCCATGGCTTTCCAGAGGTAGGGTTATCCAGTCACTGGGGTCTGTGTTAGGCAGAGCTGACAGGAGGACATAGAACCATGAGGGTGAGTGGGGTGGGTCCTTACCCACACGTTCGCACTTCATGGAGTCCCAGACATTGCAGTTGAAGTCATCGTACCCTGCGAAGAGCAGGCGGCCGCTGAACGAGAAGGCCACAGATGTGATGCCACAGATGATGCTCTCATGGGCATAGGCAGTCAGCTCCTGGTCTGCCCGAAGGTCGAACAGGCGGCAGGAGGCGTCATCTGAACCAGTGCAGATGGCCTCTCCGTTGGGGAAGAACTGCAGCACAGGGGGAAGGGCACAGCTCAGACCTGGGGTGCCTGGGCCTCCACATGACCCCTAATTCTGACCATTCAGGGCCTCTCAGTCCCAGCCTGGGCTGAGAAGCAGCCCTATCTGGCTCTTCACAGAGGCCTCACACTGTAGGCTGCTGCTCCCCCTTCCTCCCTCAGTGTTCCCTGCTACAAAGCTGCAGGCAGGGTCATCTTATGTCAAGGGCTAGGGATTAGCTGAGACTCGTAGGACTGTGGGCTGCAGGGAGGGTGTGAGAAACACGGCCAGGTTCAACAGCGCTACCTGGTCTCATCATGAACAATGTGAGATCAACTCAGTAGGGTAAAGTATAAAAGGCTAGTTAGTATTCTTGAAAAATGCCAGTGTCACGGTAGAAAAATAACTTCAGTTGTTTGAGTTTGTTTTACTGAAACAGGGTCTTACTATGTAGCCTATGCTGGCTTCAGACCTACATCAGTCGTTCTGCCTCAGCCTCTCAAGTGCTAGGGTCACAGGCTTGTGCCACCATGCCCGAGATTAGTTCCATTTAAAGACTAAAAAATGAGTCCAGGAGCCAGGCATGGAGGAATACTTAGCACCTTTGGAAGCTGAAGCAGAAGGCTCACAAGTTCAAACCCAACCCAAGCAACATAATGACTTACACACTGCCTCAATGGAATAAATAAATAAATAAATAAATACATAAATAAATGGGCCGATGATATAGTTTAGTGTGAAGGCCTTAGATTCAATCCCCAATAAAGAAAAAAAAATGCAGCAAGGAAATATAATGAATCGGGTCCTGAGCCAAGAAAACACGAGGCTTGATGGTGTACACCTGTCTTCTCAGCTGCTCAAGAGGCTGAGTTTCAGAGACAGACTGTGGCTGGGGAGATAACTCAGCAGCTTAAGCATTTGCCTGGCAAGTGCAAGGTCCTGAATTTGATCCCCATACCAAAAAAACAAAAATGGAACAAAAAAACCCTCAAAGACAGAATGATAAAGGAAACAGGAAAATATTAACCCTCTGGGTGAGGGGTTCCTGGGAGTTCTTTTGCTTAGTTGTGAAATTGCCATGTAAGGTGAAATGGTTTGAGTGAAAAATTGAAAAGCAAGGGCTAGGGACAAGGGTCCAGGGATCATGTCCTGTGGGGGGTGCTCACACAGATGGCGTTGATGTCCGACTCATGGCCTGTGAAGGTCTGACGGCACGTCCCCTCCCGCACATCCCAGAGCTTGGCGCTGGCGTCACAGGCTCCCGAGATGAAGAGTTTGTAGTCAGGAGACACAGCCAGACTCATGCAGTCACCAGTGTGTCCCACAAACACAGTCTTCTGCTGTCCTGTCTCAATGTCCCACAAGGCACTGCCAAGAGGGAGCAAGGTGGTCACATGTATCCAGGACAGGACCGCTTCCCCAGCCTCAGCACCCGAGCCTCAGCCCTCACCATGTGGTGTCCCCGGAGCTGGTCACAATGTTGTTGTCATCCAGGAAGCGGCAGCAGGAGAGATAACCTGGCAGTGGTTACAAGGCCAATGCCCAATGCCCTGGCTGCAGGGCCACACTCCACCCAGACCCCTCAGGTATCAGGGAGGGTCTCACTCACCTGTGTGAGCAGAAAGCTCCCGGCTGACTTTGACATTGCCCTCGCGGGATTTGAGGCTGTAGATGGAGCACATGTTGTCCAGCCCCCCACATGCCACAAAGTTCCCAGATGGGGCGTAGGCACAGGTCATGACCCAGGAGGAGCGCAGCGGGATGGCGTGAACCTGTTGCAGGGGTGGGACCTGGCCTAAGCTCCAGCCAGGCAGGGGCAGAGCAGTGGGTGGAGTGCCACCCAGGAGGATGTGGCAGTGGAGGGTTGGTTGGGGTAAGGCTAATACCTTGTTGGTGGTATAGGTGTCCCATACAATCAGCTTCCCGTCTTGTGAGGCACTTACCAGTAGCCTGTGAAGAGTGTGCCCAGGTCACCCACATCTCTCCTCCCCGCTTCCCCGCCCCTCTGGCCCCTCTCAAGCCTCACTTAGAGTCGGTGGCCCAGTGCATGGCGTAGATCTTAGCTAGGTGCCCTCTTAGCGTCCGACGTGTCCGCATCTGGACTCGTCCCACCACCTCCAGGCCAGACACCAGCTGCCAAGAAAAGGGGATTAGGGCTGGTGAGATGGCTCAGTGGTCTAAAGCACCTACTTAGAACAAGCTCAGGAAAGCACAGGGACCGTGGTTCAATCCCCCAGCACCACATGCCAGCCAGCCCCACCCCCTGGTGGGCTGAGCTGGCCACACAAACACGAAAAAAATATACATAAATAAATAAAATAAATAAATTTTTTTAAAAAAGAAAAGGGGATTAGATGTCAAGTGTCTGCTATGGCTGCTGATCTGTACAAGTTCCTGCTTAACAGCAAGCTCTAAGCAAGTCCCCCAACCCTAGAGGAGTAAATCTCCGACGCACTGGCATGATGTAGAATTCTGTGGGACACAGATGCTTGAGTAGCCAGTGGCATGTTGGGAGGCGTTCAGCAATGTGCCTCTGGACTGGGGCTCCTCTGTGTAGATATTCCTGTTGTGCTCAGTTTCAGGCTGCATCCCTGAACACCAACTTGGGAAGATGACAAAGTTGACTTTCCCAAGGCAATAGGAGCCTGCATCTGCTGCACACCACCGAAGCACGGCCAGCTCTCACTGGGTACCCAGGTGTCACCATGACCATATACGGCACCTCCTGTGCCCCTTGAATGCCAACGAGCCTCTAGAATCAGGTTGGGCTCCAGAGTCAACAGATTCAATTGCCGTTACTACATTTGCTTTGTTATCATGTGTAAGTTATTCAACTGAGCTTGAAGGTGTAAAGTGAGGCTTATCACAGCACCTACTTTACAGAGGTGGCACGAAACAAATGAAATTATATGGATTATCCAGCATGTGAAGTTATGAACCTCAGCAGTTTAGCTTAGCGTCTAGCTCATGATAGCTGCTCATTATTTGCATGTGTAATCTGATCCTTACTCTTATTATTAGCATATTTAATCCAGTTTGAGATGGTTTCAGCGATAAGAAGCCCCATTATTGTATATATTGCTAAGAAAAATATGCTACCCATTATAATAATTAAAAGGTGTCACCCATTGCCGGGTGCACCCTGATTTTAGACATCTCTAAATGTGAAGACGTGTGCATGGTGGAATCGGCGAAGTGCAGCCTTAGACAATCACTGACCAGAGTCTCTAAGGCCTTCATGGTTTGCCGAACAGTCTCACTCCCTCATCACTGCGCAGGGAGGGGTGCATCATTCTTGTTTGGAGGGCCAGCATAGGAACTATGTCTGAGTCTTTTGGTGGAACTGGGGATTGAACTCAGGCCCTTGTGCTTGCCAGGGAAGTGCTTATTCCACTGAGCCATCTCCCCAACCCCCTTATGTCTGAGTCTTGAGCACCTGATTCAGTGCCTGGTCAAAGCAGGAATGGATAAACATTTATTGAATGGCTTCACCAATGCCCTTCCTTATTCCAGCAAACAACGCACCATAAGTTGGCCCCTGTCAGGGAGCTCCTGTGCCCTCCCTTCATGCCCTGCCTCAGGTGGGGATAGTAGGTCTCACCTCTGACAGGGTGGTGTCAGCACAGGCTTTCCTGGCATCCTGCAGGGAAAGGAGACATCAGGGGTGGCTACAGCAGGGTGGGGGGTGTGGTATATGGGCCTCAGAGGGGGCAGGATAGGGTTCTGGAGGCTGGGGTGCCTCAGATGTGAGATCCAGGTCAGAGAGGTCTAGTCGCTGCTAGGTCAGAGGTCTCTAAAGTGTCTCAGTAAACCCAGCCCTTCCCTCCAGGCCACACGCCCCCTTGTCCTCAGTTCTGTTTTGGGGTCCCCAGTGGGAGGGTTCTGGGGTTACTGCAATCTGCTTCTTGAGCTGCTCCGCCTCCTGCCTCAGCTGCTCCATCTCCCCCATGGTTGAGAGGTTGAGGGGTAGCTCCGGCTCCTGCCGGGAATACAAGTTTAAGTATTGGGGAGTCCCCACCAGGCCAAGTTTCTGCCCTCTAATACCCACCCTAGAATTCTGAGGGCTGGGACACAGAAAAGTGACAGGGGTGGAGGGAGAGAGGGTACCTGTCTGCACCACCACCTTGGTCAGACCCTTCCCACTGGTGTCTGGTGCACCCAGCCCCAGGCCTGCCTGTGCCCACCCTGCAGCCCCCAAGCCCAGAGGACTGAGCTGGGCCAGCTCCCTCTTACTTGGGCACTGGCTGGACCTCTCCCGGGCTTCCAGCTCCAGATCCCAGGCACCTCCTTGCTCCCTCAGCTGCGACGCCTGCCTGTCACCTGCCCCAGCTCTGCTGCCAGAAGAGCTGGCCTGGCCTGGCCCCGACTAAGAGCGGGGCACTGACAGGCAAGGGTGGGGCCAGGGACAACAACGTCAGGCAAATGACATTGGCAGGCAGGGATTGGGGGGAGGCCAGGGAGGGAGGAGGTGTGTGGTTCTAGAAACTTGGGCCAGTTCAGAGGAGAGGTGGGGGCAGGAGTGTGTGCTAGAGACGGGAGTGGGCCCCATACTGGCCATGGGGGTGGGGAGGATGGAAGGACCCTCCCTGGTCAGCATGCAGGCAGAGATAAGAGCATCAGGCCCACGGATCAGAGCAAAGCTGTGAGGATTAAGGCTTGGGGTTTGGGAGGGAACAGAGGAACAGCCCCCTTATGGCTCCCAGCCCCTGGCCCTCAACTGTGGGCATGGTCTTGGAAGTCAGGTCCTGCTTAGTGACTGGGCCAGGAGCCAGGGTGTAAGGGCAATCAATGGCCCTGCTTTCAATCCCCCAAACTGTGTTCCCTAGCTGAGGGTGGTGGGGGAAGAGGGCTGCGAGTCTGGAAGCGTGCAGGCAGGAGCTGAGATTAGAAGGGACTGATCTGGATAATCCTTCTCCACAAACCCCAACCAGCTGCCCTGATCCTAGGTGAGGAGTCAGGGACGGGGGTCTGGCCTGCTCCTTGGCCCAGAGATTCATGGGGCCCCATGGGCTGTGAAAGCAGGAGGCACAGGGTAGGCTGCTCCCACTCAGCCTTGTGCAGGGAGGGAAGATGGGGCTCAGTGGAGGCCCAAGGAGCAGCTGGTGGGGCTCAGGCCCATTTGCATGAGGAAGCAGGTGGCAGAGATTTCCCTGACAAATCACAGGCTCTCACGCTCTGCCTCTGGGAGGCCCAAAGATGCTTGTCTCCTCTCTGGCCAGCTACAGTCACCCCCACCTCCAGCCCCACAGACACTATGACACATCAGACAGGGACTCCAGCCAGGGACCCATGGGTCTTCGCGTCCTTTATTGCACAGGTATCAGGGAAGGACACAGTTGACACCCTTATCTTCCAGTAAAGCAGTCAGCCTCTAGTCCTGGCCATTGCTCTTCAGAGAGGCACAGTGCCCTCTGCCTGCCCCAGAGCTGCGGATCAGTCCATCAGCTGAGGCCAGGCCCCAATCCCAGGCGTGGTGAGCACCAGAGTCCAGGCTAGTGCCCTTGGATCCCAAATGGGAGAGCTCAGGGATGATGAGCTCACATTTGGCTCCTGACATGACTTGGGCCTTCTCAGGGATTCTTCCCTGAGCCAGGTAGCCACACTCCCAAGGCACAGTCTCAGCCACTCACAGCTCCTCTCGGACCCAAGACGCTTCCCCAGCTTTGTTGTGGGCCTCTGGGGAGTTTCGGCTGGCGGGCTCAGAGGCAGGGTCTCTGATAAGGGTTTCCTCCTCTCCCTCCTCTTCCTCTTCCTCTTCCTCTTCCTGCTCAGGCTCCTGTAGCAGCTCTTTGGCTTCTGCCCATTCCTGGAGAGGAGGAGGAGGAAGAAGAGAAGGAGGAGGGAAGCGCAGTCCCAGGGCCTCTGGGATCTCAGAACTGCATCCTTCTGCACCCCTTTCTCCTACCTGCTCCCGGTGCTCTGGTGCCCACGTGTGCCACAGCGCCAGGGCACAGCGCCGGCCGCGAGTCACGGCCCACACTCCGTGAGGGTTCTCCACACCAGAACTGAAGGCCACGAGGCGTCCACAGCGAGGTCGAACCTGGGCCTGAGGGCAGAGTCTCAGCTCCAGAGACAGAAAACTGACCAGCCCCTCCCAGGCAGCTCTCTATCTGCCACCTGATGCGTCTTAATTGGGGGACCTACTCTGGGCCCATGGGAAGTCAACCTTCACTAGAGCAGAAATGGCTCCTTGAGGTTGAAGGAGCTGGAGTCCAAGCTGGGAGCTGAGAGCCATCAGGGGCCCTGAGGGTCATGAGTTCAAGGCCAGCCTGAACCAGTGAGGCCATGTCTCAAAACAAGCAAACCAACCAACCAAACAACCGAGACCCAAACAAAACTCTTATACTCGTTACTCTAGGCTTAGGAGTGTGGCTGTGGTGGAATGCTTGCCTAGCATGACAGGGCTCTGGGTTCAAACCACAGCACCACCAAAATAAATAAATAAATAAATAAATAAATGAATACTATTATCATCACTCCCATTTAGGAAATAGGACCTCAGGAAAGTTAAAAGCCAAACCCTGGGCTCCACTCTAGCATTTGCACACTAGCCACATCCTCGTCATATGGGGAGGAGGAAGGACTTTTTAAATTTCCTCAAACCCTTAAAATAAGGTCATAGGGCTCCAGAGGGATGCAGGCTATGCTTCACTCACCTTCCAGTTTTTTGTTTTTGTTTTTTTTGCTTTTGAAGGACTTTTGGCTGGCTCAGGCTGCTTTAAGGGCGGGTCTGAGGATGGAACCATGGGTATCCTGTGCCTGACTGCGTTTGCATAAGCAGGCACTTAAACAACTGAGCTAACCACCCCCAAAAGTTGAGAAGGATTTTTTGTTTGTTTTGTTGTTTGCTTTTTTTTGCTTTTGAGACAAGGTCTTTTGTGTGTGTGTGTGTGTGTGTGTGTGTGTGTGTGTGTGTAACTGCGGATTGAACTCAGTCCTTTGCGCTTGCCAGGGAAGCACTTATTCTACTGAGCCATCTCCTCGGCCCCTGAGACAAGGTCTTATTATGACACCCAGGTTGGCCTCCAATGCCTGGACTCAAGAGATCCTCCTGTCTCACCCTCCTGAGCCATTAGGACTACAGGCAAGCACCATGGACACATTCTCCCTTAGGAGGTGAGGTGAACCTGGAAGGCAGGATTTGGGGGGCCACTTAGAGAGCTTCTGGGGGGATGCAGTCAACTTCTGCTGAAGGAGCCTTGAACCCAGGGTGGTAGCCGGGAGCACTGGAGAAGCAGGTAGGGAAGGGTTACAGTAGCCCAGCCATTTCCCTGGATTTGCCTCTGAGAACCTTCTGTTTTGAATTCTGACCCCACAGCTGGGCCCTGTGTCATCCCAATCCCCTCCACCACCTACCGTGACAGTGAGGGCATTCGGCTGGGTGAAGAACAGGTCCCCACCTTGGAAGTCATCATTGAGGTAGAGGAGTCCACTGCAGAGGGAAGAGGATGGAAGGCAGCGGGAGCCCATCCAGGCCTGGGCAGCCATGGGTGGCCTTTGTGTGCCCACCGGCCTGCACCCACCTGTAGTCTCTATACGTGTAGGCAGGGGGCTCCCGCCAGCATTCTCCCGAGTCTGGGTCCAGGACGCAGTTGTCCACGTGCACGGGGTGGCTCAGGTCCATACGCTGCTCCTGCTCTCCTGGGCACACGCCAAGGGGGTCCTGTGAGATCTCTGTAACCCTGCCCTCCTGCCATCCCACAACTCACACCACCTACAAACATCCTACAGCTTGTGGAGTCACAGAGAAGCCAGGCCCTAACCAGTCGGGGGGCTGGGAGTCTTTATGGACTGAGAAGTTGGGGTGCTGGGCAGTGCAGTACCTAGCAGTTTGGGGAGGCAGGCTGGGGCCCCAGGTTACCTTCGATGGCACTGCGGCACACCAGGTGGGTGAAGGAAAGATACAGCGGCCGTTCCGGGGAGAAGTAGGCCTGGGTCAGGATCCGCACCCGCTCACTCACTTCCAGAAGCAGCTTAGCACCCTGACTGCCCACAGTGCCAGCCTGGGCCAGCTGTGGGCAGAAGGCAGGGAAGGGAAGGAAGGAGGCAACGGCAGGTGGCCTGGCCTTCGCCCCTGCCCTCTCCTCTCCTCTCCTCTCCACCCATGCCTTGGAGGCACAGCAGCTGGCTCTGCCCTCATCAGTATAACAACATCATCCCAGGTCTCCAGATCCCTGAACACCCCCTTCTCAACCCTGGTCTAGATCTCAAGTAGTCGTGGTTGTGGAAAAGTTCCTCCTCAGAGGGACACGCCCTTTTCTCCAGCCAGTCAGGACATCTCCTCTCACCTGAGCAGCCTTGAGCACTGTGAGCCCCTCAAAGTGCTCGTGGGGTGTGTGGGGAGAGCGGCGACCACGGTAGCCGGACCTGCCTCCAGCACCAGCTGCATCCTAGGGAGAATGGGAATGCACATGGAGTCTCTCCCTAGCCTACACCACAGCCACGGCCTAGAGGACCCACCCTCCATCCAGCCTTCCCACTCCCTGGAAGAGGCTGGAAGCACCCGCACTTCCCCTGAGCCACAGGCCCTCCCAGAGAGTGACAGAGTCATAGCAGTCTGTATTATCATTCTTAGGCAGAGCCTGGAGGCCCACTCACCAAGTGCACTGTGTGAGGCCAGAACTCAGGGAAGGGGCCTCCAAGAGAGCAGGAGAAGAGAAACAGAGCTGGGGACTGGAAGGGCTTCTCATTCATGCCAAGGAATCTTTGTGGAAACAGGACCTCAAAAGGAAACCTGACAGGCAGGCCCAGTCCAGGCAAAAAACTGACTTTTCACACATTCCAGGGACATTGTGGTCCACAGCCTCTTGATCCTAATTGATTACCAAACACCTAAAGGTGTATCACCCAGGGGTCTCGAACGACTTGAGGTGTCTACAACTGGAGCCCTTCCCTTTTGTGACATCCACCTTTGTTTATTTTTCAAAGCTCAATTTTATTTTTTCCAAATCTCAAGTTGAAATCCCACTGCCTCCTTACCCCTTACAGACCTCATCTCTGAGGACTCCACCAGCTCACCCAAGCCACACTGCTGAGGCTGAAGCCAGGACCTTGTGAGTACCAGGCAAGTAATCTACCACTGAGTCACATCATCTGCCCAAATTTTCTATTCTTTTTTTCTTTTTTCTTTTCTTTTCTTTT